ATATATAATAATCAATTTGAAATTCTTTTAATCAACATATGATATTTTTTTAATTTTTTTTACTATCTTGTTTGTATTAGTTAATCTATTGTATTATTAGAGATTTATTTCAATTATTTTAAAAAAAATTCTAATTGATTAATTTTTCAAGATACCCTTCTTTGATCATTTTACATTCGTATCAGCTGGTTTTGTTAAACATGTTTAATTCATCAGTTAGCTTATCAGCTATCAGCTAGCTTTTCAGCTAGTTTGCCGAACATAGTCTTAGATATTATTTGGCAAAAATAAGCTAGCTTATAAGTTTATATCTACTTACAGGTAATGCATATTTCTGTTTGTTTTTTTAATTGGGTGTTAGAAGTCTGAATTATTATTTTATTTTTTTATTGATAATAAAGTAGTGTTAATGTGTCAAAGCACAAACAATCTCTCTCTCTCTCTCTCTCTCTCTCTCTCTTTCATATATATATATATATATATATATATATGGAAAACTTAATAGTGCTTACATGACATCTCCTAATATTAGAATCCTCATTTCTCTTTTTTTTTGATTTTTTTAAATGTTTAATATAAGAAAAAGACCATGTTGTCCGTATATAATAAATGTGTGTTCCATTATGCATTACTTTTTTTTTGATAAAAATTTACATACATCTTGAACACTCAACTCTCCATATGCTCATGGTAACCTTCTTAGCTTCCATTCTCTTACATGTATTTTGCAATTTAGGCTAACCACCAAATTTTCATGTGCTAATAAACTTTGTAACTTCCTCTGCTATTAAATTGTGGCTTTCTCCTGCTATTAAATTGTGGCTTTCTCCTATCTTAAATGTAATTTTTTAAATACATCTTGCAACATAGGTTAAGCTAATACTCTCCTATGAAGTATGTGGGTTTAGGATAACCTTCTTAGCTTCCCTTCTCTTAAATATATTTTGCAATTTAGGTTAACCCCTAAATTTCCATGTGCTAATAACCTTTGTATCCTCTGCTATTAAATTGTGGCTTTCTCCTCTCTTAAATGTAAATTTTTTAAATACATCTTGCAATACATGTTAAGCTAATACTCTCCTATGAAGTATGTGAGGCCAAACAATCTCCGATAAAACCTCATGCCCCTTGAAAGATTTATTGTTTTTTGATTGTGTATTAAGCATACCAAGTGGATCTACTTCAACACCAACTTTCTATTTGATCATGTTTCAAATATAACATACATCTTGAACCCCCAACTCTCTATATGCTCATGGTAACCTTCTTAGCTTCCCTTCTCTTAAATGTATTTTGCAATTTAGGTTAACCCCCAATCTTCCATATGCTAATAATCTTTGTAACTTCCTTTGCTATTAAATTATGGCTTTCTCCTCTCTTAAATGTAAATTTTTTAAATACATCTCGCAATATAAGTTAAGATAATACTCTCCTATGAAGTATGTGAGGCCAAACAATTTCAAATAAAACCCCCGCCCCTTGAAATGTCTATTGTTTTATGAT